AGAGACTAGATCATATTTTTAATTGGATAATAACTGCTCCTCTTATCATGGTTTAGTACTAGTTTGAACAATATTATTAAGTCCCCTTATTTCGAAATTGAGTTTATTCCCTTATTTCGAAATTGCGTTCATTCCCTCCATTAAACACTAGTTTGAACAATATTCAGTCCAATAATAATATCAGTTCATACACTTATATGTCGACATATATATCCCTCAAGTGAGAGTTTAATCTTACTCACTTTATGAAAACTCTTACAGTCACAACTATTTTTTCAGATTTTGGAATATTAAAACGTCAAACCACATGCACGCCTAACAACTATCTAAAAGCTTCTTGCTCCAGTTGCTTCTTATTATTGGTCTACCTACATTACCATCTAAGCATTTTTTGAGAAGAAAATTACCAACATGATTATATATATGACCTTTTAATACAGGTATATGAGTATGTTGTAACCATTGATATGGAAATTAATTTAAATTTGTCTCAGTTTTTGAGTTCAACTAGAGAGCTAAAAAGAAAAAAAAAAAATTAAATTGGTTTTATACCTTGCCTAAATAGTTTGTACTTGAAGTAGTGTGAGTTTGTAAGCACTAAAGTAATGCGTTACAAGTTAAAGAGGTGAGAGATTTACAATCACATCATACTGATGTCACATTAAGCATGGGCAAGCCTCTCGGGTTAGTATGGCATATCTCACCCTCAATAGGTCGGTAGCAAATTACCTTGCCTAAATAGTGCTTGAAGTAGCATGAGTTGTAAGCACTAAAGTGACTAGTTGTGTGTATAATAAGTTAAAGAGGTGAGAGATTTACAATCACATCATACTGATGTCACATTAACTATAGGCTAAGCACCCCTCGAGTTAGTATGACACATCTCACCCTCAATAGGTGGGTAGCAAATCACAACTTCATATTTCTAAGGTCTAATCAGCAAAAACAAAAGAAGAAAGAAATCTAAAGGTTCTCTAATCTTGTTTGAAGATTGTTGTACAACACAAAAATATATCATTCTTAAGTTCTAGTATAGACTAGAAATTGCTGCCTGTGCATTGTTGCGGGATTAGAAATTGTATGGAACATTGATAAGCTAATTCTAAATCACCAAGTTCATGACAATCAATTGAAACATTTTCTCTAGCTAAATTATTAAACATCATTTAGCATAAACTAACTTGTAAGTTCAAATGCAAGAATGCAAACGAAGATAAATTGTCAAATTCCATACATGTCGAAACTTCATTTAGGAAACTGAAAACTTTAAAAATAAAATAAAATAAACACACAAAGATTGTTTACAATTATAAATGTTGAATGCTGATAAAACATATAATACAATGATATTGGTTTGTCTTATAAAATGTTGAATGTAAACAGCATACCCAAATTACCAGTCAAACCAATCAAAATTTCCACTCCTTGGCTAATATCATAGAATGCCAAATCCAAATCCATGAACCCCACACTGTCAACTGATTCCTTGCCAAAGTTATAGCAAGTATTGTTATCCAATTCCAATAATGCCGTTATAGTACTCCTTGAAAATGCATTAGTTGGTATATCCATCTCTCTCTTTAAGAGTAATTGTTAACAGTAATTATAATAACAGGCTAAAAGCACTGTCAACTATGTTATAAAAAAAATCAAATGTCAATAAGAAATGAAGATAAATGACTTACTGGTGTACTCGAGAAATTGAGAATCATTAGCTGCAAATGGCCTCGAATGGGATCACCTCCAAAATTCTCAGGTGTAACTCTGAGGATAGCTTCTGTCCAATACAACTCTGCAAGAATAGCCATTCTTCAATATTTAAGCAGGATTGGAAATAGGGAAGTAGCGTATAAAAGCATTAAAATAAGGTTAGTTGGCCAAAAAGTTGTTAATTTCTTGTGTAATTAACCAATTTCTCAATTATCTTATGAACATAAAGAAAGAGAAACATTTAACAAATCAAAAAATTTCTAGTCAATATATTTTCTCTTTATATAAGAAGAGCTGTCATGCAAATACAACCTTCATGATAAACCTTGAAAAATAGCCAATCTCCAAAATATATAAAACCCGACAATTTATACTTTTATAGTGAAGGCAATTTTTATAACGTGGATTCCATTTTATGAAGGCAAGCGTAAATGAATTAATTATGACAGAGATGGCATTGTACATGCTGCAAATCATGGAACCAAAAAGAATCGTGGCAGAGAAAAAAAGCACTATTTGTCATCAGTTCAAGGTAATAAAAAAAAAAAAAAAAACTATACATGTGCAGTGGTTACAGGTAGCAATCTTGGGTGATCACCAAACAGTGCCTCAAGTTGCTCTTTTGGGGAGCTCACGACTATGCCTTGACCCCCTTGTTGGCCCCTCTTTTGTCTAAAGACCTGCTCTTAGCTCTTTCTTAGGGTCTGGTCAAATAATTAATAGTTGTAGATTAGAGCCTAATTAATCTATGTGAACAAATTAAATCAAGCAAGGGCAAAGAACAAAAATTAAGAATTGTAATTACATGGAAGGCAGATTCAATAATGTCATTGCTGAAACTGTTGAAGTATGACTTGGGATTTCCAGAACCAGCGCGGAAGAATTCCTGCAGAAATTAAATAAATTACCAACCCCAAATATTAAAACCAAAACAAAATTCAAGTTTCTGTGTGAAAATTTAATTGGATTTGTAGGTAATTAATCGTCCAGAACTGTTAACAGAAGGGATGAGCTTTGCAATGTGAAGAGGTTCGTCATTGTTATTGTAAATTAAGTAAACAGAAGGCCCCTGCAGGAACTCTAATAACATCTCCATGTTCCATGTTAATTAAGTAAATAGAAGCCCCTGCAGCAAAGAGGGTAGCGTTCGCCGTTTGAATGGAAGAGTGAATGAGATTAAGAAGATCGGCGAGAGCAGCATAACAAACTACATAACTAATTACTCAATTAAAACATTAAGTAAACCCTTTACTGTGATTAAGATAATCACAGGTATAACAGAGAGACGAACTGGCAGATTGTGAAGCCTGAAGAGAACCCAGATCCAGCAATTGTGAAGTCTAAAGAGAACCCATAATTTGAATACTGGAATCTTGAGTTTTCTGGCAGATTTTTCATCCATGATTTCAGTAACCCAAAATCAATTTAAAAAGTAAATAGATTTAAATTCGAAATTGGGCGTAATAACTGAAAACACGATCAAAACTTCAAATTACTTGCCTTGAGTAGAGAGAGCGTTTGGATTTTAGATGAAAGAGAAGCAGAAGAGTCGAGAACAGGTTTCTTCCACGATGAGGGACGCGCGGGCGACGAGGGCAAATTCGCCATTTTTCTGTGTAAAAATAGGAAAAGACGCACGACCAAGAGCAATTGGGGGGCATTTTCGGCACTTTACCTATGTAACGTATTATGAACGTCATAAATACTTTACCTAATAACTTCTAACTTTTGAGCTGGACGTCCTATTTGTCACTGATTCACCGTCTTTATTAAACAACTTGTTACCTTTTGTTTTAGGTGAGAACAGTTTGTGGTTTTTGTTGCTTACATCTTTGGAGAAAATTAAAAGAACCCCAACTGAAATTACTTCAAGTGGTTGCTCACATTCATGATTTTCTTACAGGTGTAGAGATCAGGAAGAGGAAAGCATTCAATTGACAAGCTGTTCAACCACACCCACTTCCTTTAGTTACTTCCCAGGTAACTCTTAATTAAGTTTTGATGAAAGCAAAAGTAGCACTTTCTGAAAAATGTCAACAGATGGTTGGTTTTAAACGGACCACGGACTGTCTCATTTGAAAAGAAAATTGTTAATTTTATTTATTGTCATGTGATTATAACAATATGTAAAATACAGCATGCGGAAAAGTATTCAAGATATATTCTGGAAGATAAACTTTCTAGATTGCATGGTATTTTAATACCAATTTTATTGATTTGACATATATAGACCAGAAAAACAATTTTTTTTTCCTTTTTAAAAGGGGATTTCATTATGGCCGCCCACTTTCGGGGATTGAAAAGATTCCCAAATGGATTTTAGCATTCTTCTAATCACCATCGTGCGATTTATCATCACAAAGAATCGGACCTGCGGTATGAAATACGGACTTGAAATTTATTCCTCAATAAAATTGGAAATTGACGTTTAGGGCCTCATCGTGACATACTTTCTATATTACAAGGTATTAGTAAATCTTCTTTGACATATAAATAAACTTTCTAGATTACTGAAGATTATTAATACTCTAAAAATCTCATTCTACACTCTTCAGAAGTGTATTTTTCTTTCTAATTTTAGAAAGTTTAAAGTGCAAAATGAGATTTTTGGAATGCCAATAACAATTCTCATTAGTAAATGGTCGTAAACAATGTTTTAAAAGATGCTAGACGCTAGTCGGATGGCGGGCTGGGGCCTAGCACCTAAGCAATTAGGCAGATTTAAGTAAATGGAGTATACATTGTATAAGTAAGTGTTTATTTATACTTATAAAAAAAAAACACATAATTGTATTAGGATGCATAAATTCAAAATAAAATGACATACAGATTATAAAGTGTTAGAATATATTGAAAACATGGAGAACAAGCATATAATGAGTGCTCATCTAAGTATTCAACAAATCTTACATTTTATTGACAAAATAAAATGCAAAATGAAAGTTATCCATTTTATGTATAAATGAGAGTTGCAACCTAGGTGAGTGACTAGGCAGGTATAAGCGGGCTAGACGTAGTTTCTTAATTTTCAAACGACTGTAGATAAAACAGTGACCGCTAGATGGAAATTTTTGGAACAATAGTCGTAAAAGCAGGGATTCATAACCTATGGCGGCTTCTTTAGTAGCCATAATAACAGAACATCATCCTTTGCTGGACTAACTTTGTTATATTCTGAGTAATGTTCTCTTACTAAACATAGGTTGGCAAATACATACTTTGAGCAAGAACCAAATTAACGGATTAATGGTTCAAATTCACTATAAGTAGTACTATATATAGAGAGAGAGAGCACGGGAAACTTGATTATATATTATCAGCAAACTGCTGCTGAACATTTCTTTTTATTGCTAACAAGTAATTCATATATAATCAACAGATAATCACAATACATATGGTTAACAAACGTTGTTCAGGGATTATGCTTCTGTGTATAGATGTAATCGACATGAGCAGCCAGAGTTCTTCTCATCAAGCACTCCTCCTCTCCAACTCCTTCACAGCTCTCAACTTCATCAACCTGTTCTGTTTCAACACCCTTAAACAACACACACACAAAAAACCCATATATATATCAAACTCATAATCCCGGTACTCGAACAAAATAAAAACGAAATAGTGTAAAACACAATAAAAACATTAAAACTCAACGAACCTTGAGTTCGGTTTTCGCAGACTTCGCTGCTGAAAAAGCTGGTTCTGGTCTTGCTGCATAAACTACTAAAGTAGAGCACAGGACAAGAGCTAAGAAGAAGAGGGCTTTATATGATCCGGCCATTTCTCTCTGTGTTTTTGTACTAGAACTATATGCAAAGGGTCGGGGTATATATAGAGCTTGATATACACATAGAAAAGAGAGCGAGGGATTGAATGAATATATAGAAATGTGATAAGAAGATGACCATTTTAGGCTTTATTGTGTGAACTAGGACAGAAGGACGACTTTGTGCAGCAGGAGTATGGACCCAAACGTTTTGTACTTAAATGGGCCATTAATAACATACTTATAAAAGGAAGACTTTTTATTTCAAATTATGATTATTATTTTTATGCAGTTCTAGCCTATGACCAAATAATTAATAAATTGGCAAAAATAAATGCGACCGATGAAAAAAGTAGAAATAAAACATAAATGATTTGACACTCTTCTCATGGCCGATATCGCCGGGGATTTGCTTCATTGCATGTTGTTGGTAGAATAATGGCTCCAGCCGACTTACACTTTGAACCAGATGAAGAGGTTTCTTTGGTCGTTAAAAAGGAAAGAGGCCAAAGAATCCAAAAATTATTCCTTGCTGGCGAAAGAATAAACTGAAAAAGAAAAAGATATATTCAGCTAAATGGTGTCAAATATTCACAGCCAAATAAAGTATAAATCAGTCTGCTGTTTAATTTCGAAAACAAGAAAAACTTGCATGCATTTACTGCGTGCAATATTTATTTTATGTTTACTTAGTGATCAACACATTATTTTATATGAACGACACATGTTTCCAATGAGCGTATAAATTCTTTTCTCTAAAATGATTCATAAGGTAATTAGGTTTGGAGAATTTTCTGTACCAACGCTCATTTGTTAATAGGCATCCTGTAAAATTAAGAGTGATACTATTGCATTTCGTGTTCTATTTTTCAATCACTTTAAAGAATTTGACTTTTATTTAATACACTGGTCAATTAACAACAAGAGATTGTTAATGTCGAACTTAGTGGTCCACCATGCACACAAGAATGTTCTTGAGCTTTTACTCTGGTTGATTATTCAAAGAGTCAAAACCATTTCTAGAACGGCCATTCATTCTTTCATTTTCCGGCCTTGAATCATGCAATAAGTCACCATGACATGTGCATATGCATGGTTTTTTTTCCCTTTCTTTTACAGAACCACGTATATATTCCGTTCGACTTCATTACCCTTAGCACTTAAGATTAATTACCCGTAAATATACCTGTTGACTCAATTCATGAGAAAAGGTTTCCTCCTCTTAACGGTTTTTCTTACACTACCATCCTTTTGTCTATTATATACATCAAGTATCACGATAATTAAGTAATTAAACAGACGCGACTTCAAATTAAGGAGTGATTAAATATATATAATATTTGGTACACTGATTAAGATAATTTTATTATGTCACGATGGAAGGTTCTATAATTAAAGAGAAAACATAAAGAAAAACTATTCCATCACGAAACGAAGTAAGAATAATAAGATATGTAGTAATATAATCAAAAGTTTTCTTCCATCCACACTAGCAGTCTAACAACAATCAGATTGACATAATCATGAATTGCGCCACTTGTGCCGTACTACTTTGACAAAAGAAATAGGGAATTGTTATTAGCACTTCAAAAATCTCATTCTATACTTCAAACTTTCTATATTAGGAAAGAAAAAAACATTTGTGAGGAGTGTAGAATGAGATTTTTGGAGTGCCAATAACACTTCCCAATAAATAATTAAGGTTAATGAAAGTACAAGTTAATCTTAACATAGATTTCCTTGGAATCAATAATCATCTTTGCATTAGTTATCAGTGTATATATTTGGAAAGTGTTATTGACACTCTAAAAATCTCATTCTACACTCCTCACAAGTGTATTTTTCTTTTCTAATATAGAAAGTTAGGAGTGTAGAATGAGATTTTTGAAGTGCTAATAACAATCCTCATATATTTATGTATGTGTATGACCTCGTGATTACATACCTTCTATAAAAATGAAAAGAAAATAAATTATAAAACTAGGTTTTAATTCTTAAATAAGATGACGTTTAGATTAATGCCTGGTATAAGATTCAAAATTGAGTTTAGTCCCTTGGTTCTACTTAAATTCCAGGATTTATATTTCATCATGTCATTTTGTTTTTGGTAATTTCATGATTTTTCTTTTTCTAAGTCTACACAAATTGATTATAATATATTTCGATAAAATATTTAGGTACACTAATTCATTATAAATATATTTTGGTACAAATATTTAGGCAAATACATTATAATATAGTTTGGTACAGACATTTCAATACAAACATTTGGGTATAGACATATGATACGAACAAAACAATTCAAAATATTTCGGTACAGCTATTTCTATACACTTAAAATCAAAATCAAAATTTTGTTGTGAAGACTTTAAATAAAAATACACATTAAATAACAAAAATAAATACGAATTTTATTAAAAGTATACTTCAAACAATTAAAATAAATACGTAATCTAACACCAATTTTTTTTTTTAATTTCAACATTTTTCATGAACTAATGTTCAAAAACCCCAATATAAATTCTGTAGATAACTTATGAATAGTTTTGGCCGTATGCATTGAATCAGCTTAACACTAAAACCCTTAGAAGACAATTGTAGCCGTGTAATGAAGCAAGAGAACAGAAAAATTATACCATTGTTTACTGAATTTGACCAAAGACGGTTACAAATAATAAAGCACATCCAGCAAATTAAAGTAAATAAAGAGAATAATGCAGAGTTTAAGGCATGCATATATGCTAAAGGGTTTTGTGCAGCCGAAAGCCAGTGCTTGAATGAGTCAAAAGATTTCGATGTTGAAATTCTTTAGGTATCGGTAAAGTGAGCATTGGGTTCGACAACTTCATTTGTTTTTTACCTTTTATACTATTTGAAGAAAGTTGAGATTTCATTATAAAATTAAAGGAGTTTTAACAAAACACTCCCAGTACTTTTAACGAAAAACCACAGTTTTACCTTTCCTTGATACTGTTCACTACACCTTTATTTGTCATTTTTCATTAAAACTAAAGTTTTTTTTGGACTTTTATTTAGTTTTCCTTAAAATTATTAATTGACAATACAAGGATTAACTCATTCTAACGGGTCTAGTAGTAGCCCATACAAGATCCCTTCTCTCATCAATGTGAGATTCAATCTCAACACAACCACTCACGTACGACGAATTTTCAAGCTTAACACATAAACAACACAAACGGAACGACATAGAGCACACATGGCTGTTGGGCTTCATACGTGGAACAACCTACTCTGATATTATAAAGAAGGTTGAGATTCCACTATAGAACCAATTGATAATATGAAAAGTAACCCAACTTCTTATAAACTAATATAAAATTCCTCCTCCTATTAATGCAGAATTCATTATTAACTGAAAACTGGCTTTAGAAATTTAAAGTACATGAACCTTTGCGAGGAGATGAATGAATCATTAGCTAGAAAAGTGTATTTATCAATATTAACCAAAATTTAATCCCCAAATTCACATATATACTTTTTATAAAATATTTCAAATATAACAAAAAAAAAAAAAACACTTGAAATAGACTTAAATATCCTTGAAATGAAAAATTCATACCCCATCAGATCTCAAAATAAATACTCTCCAATCTCCATACACCAAGAAAGGCCATGGTAGACAACATGTATTTTCAGTTTTTTTTTTTTTTTTTGTTTATAAGTTTAACAATGATTATGTAGCAATCGTTTTCTGGTTTTAAAAATTTATGCCATCAGGGCCAATTTGTTAAGGGGTAAAAAATTAATCAACGAACTGGAATAAATCATGTCTGATGAAATTGTCCTCCAATAATAACCTACAAATGTCTCTTTGGTAGCGAAGAGGGGCAAATCAGAAGCCCAAAAATGACAGACTGGAATATTGAAATCCTAATCTCATAACCACCAAACCGGCCATTAGAGAACAAAACAAAGATGAATGGATTATGATATTCAATCACTACTGTGAAAAATGAAATCGTATTAGGGCTAGTGATAGAAATTCATGGAAAGAGGAGAGAATTCGCAAGTATCCTCTGTTAGACAAATAAGGAATATGGTTGGAGTCCTTGTGTAATTGTATATAATATTATTCACTAGCCGTCCTACAGCCGTCAAGCCGTCCTACAGCCGTCCTATCTTGTCCTACCTACACACTAGCCGTCCTACAGCCGTCAAGTCGTCCTACAGCCGTTAAGTCGTCCTACAGCCGTCCTACCTACACACTAGGATGGCTACCTTGTCCTACCTACACACTTGTATCATGTATATATATCCTTGTAATCTTGTAGAGAAAGAAAATGAGAAAAAAAACATTCTCTTCCATTTTTTCCACATTTACGTATCAATAACAAATATATTTTTTAGCCTACATATCTTTTTCTACATGGTATACAGAGCAGGTTTATAACCCTAGCCCTAATTTTTTTTTTTTTCGGCAGCTTTCTCTGCCGTTCCCATGGCTGACTCTTCTTCTTCCGATGGTGTTTTTTCCCTTCATCATTCCGACCACCCGAATCTTGTCCTTGTATCCAAGAAGTTGAATGGTGATAACTACACATCTTGGGCCCGTGGCATGCAGCTTTCCTTGAGTGCCAAGAATAAACTTGGTTTCATCACTGGCGATATCCAAGAACCTTCTTCCTCCGACGACCCTGATGCTCACGCGGCTTGGCGTCGTTGCAATGACATGATTCTCTCTTGGCTTCTGCATTCCTTGGAACCTGACCTTCAAGAATCTGTGCTTTTTTCCACCTCTGTCCAAGCTGTATGGGATGATCTTCGCGAACGCTTCTCTCAGAGTAATGCTCCACGCATCTTCCAACTCAACTGGGAACTTGCTACAATTTCTCAAGGTTCTTCTTCTATCTCCGCCTATTTTACTCGCCTGAAAGCTCTCTGGGATGAGCTTGCTTCTTATAATGATGGCTGCACGTGCTCTTGCAACGCCAAGCATGACCGTCAACAACTCATGCAATTTTTAATGGGCCTCAACGAATCCTTTGCTGCTGTTCGTGACCAGATTCTTTTAATGAATCCCCTTCCCACTGTTCGTCAGGCCTGTTCCTCGGTGTCTCAAGCTGAAAAACAACGCTCCCTGGGCGTCCTCCGCTCTGTCGATCAACCTGCTGCCATGGCTGTTCGTGGCCCGTCCCGTCCCTCCTCTGCTCGTCCTCCCCTCCACTGCACCTACTGCAATTTTGATTATCATACCCAAGACACCTGCCATAAACTTCATGGCTATCCCGTTGGCCATCCTCTCCATGGCCAACCGTGG